AACTAATAACGTGGTAATGGAATATTAAGATACAAAACTTTTAAATTTCAAAGTGATGATTTTTGAATGACACCGTATACAGAACTGTCAACTTTCCCCTTTTTTTGAAAAAATTTCTTCTAGTGGTAGCTAAGTTTATGTTTTAATGAATTTTTCTTTTCTTTTCCTTCAAAGTTTCTATGAAATCCACTTTGTTATTATTCTTCTGTGGTTAAGATTCCAAAATTAAAAAAATTCTGAAAATTTTAGGCTTTTATTGCCGAAAACTCTTTAAAAAAATTTGCAAAAAGGGTAATATTGGTAGACCTGCTTATCAGTGGAAGTGCAAAAGGTCAAAAGTTGCGACAACATATACAATGCTAAGAAATTACTATCCATATATTTACCTTGTGAAGACACGAACAATCCTTTATTTATATTATAGATCGATACGAAACATAGCACAATGTAATCGATCAAAATATATGAATAGAAATATTAATATCATATGAGGGATATTTCCATTTAATTGACTGCTGTTTTATTCTGGCATAAGTAATAGCAAAGTATTAGAGTCTTATATTGATACAACTTTGCCTAGTTGCAGAAATACCATCTGGTAAAAGTAAAGAATTAATTGCTGATTTAAATTATTATTTTTTTTAAAAATTATTTCGTTTCAGAATGTGTAAATTCAGGAACATTTAAACAAGAGAAGTTTTTAATCCAAACTTCTGTAGTTTACTTAAGTTATTGCATTACAAAAATCCTCATTTTCTTCATTATGTGTATTTCTTCTCTTCAAGAAGACTTTTCAAGATGAATGGATAATTCAGGAATTATTATCAAAAAAGATAATTTTTAATTTAAAGCAGAATATTTTAAATTATAAAAGCCTTATTTTCTGAATTATGTGCGTTTCCTTCTTCTCAAAAATTCATTTTTTGTCATTGTCGAAATGTGTAATTCAGCGAGACAGTTTCTAATCTGAATCACTTCTTTTTTTTTTCTTATTTTCTAAGTCGTATGTTTTTTTAGCGCTTCAAGGATGCATTTAAAAATTAATATTCCAGAAACTTGCAAACTAGACAGCAACCTTTAATCTAGATCTGAATTAGTTTATTTACGTTTCATTGAATCATGTGAATTTTATTTTCAAGATAAGACATTTCAAGGCAATTCTGGAAAAACAAAACAGTCAGTACTATCAACCTGAATTAGATAATTTAAAAAACGCTTCCTTTTTCTTATCCTAGAAGTCATTTTAAGATGAGTTAATTCAAAAACTCTCAAACAAGATGGTCTGCTGTGTCAACCCGTTTTATGACGAAAGCCTTATTTTTTATATCATGTATGCAATTTTTTCAATCCAAGAAGTCATTTCAAGAGCAATAATTCGAAAATTTTAAAACAAGACTGTTTTCAATCTAAACCCGAATGAATTGATTTACGTTTCATTGCAAAGATCTTCTTTTTTGGTATCATATGTAAACTTTTCTCTCCAAGAAGTCAGTTATATAAGAGTAAATCAGGAAATTTTAAATAAGCCAGTTATTAATCTAGACCAGAAGGAATTGATTGAAATTTCATTGCAAGGATCTTATTTTTTGGTATGATGTGTAAACTTTTCTCTCCAAGAGGTCAGTTTCAGATCAGTAAATCAGGAACTTTTAAATAAGTAAGTTTTCATTCAAGGCTGGATTGAATTGATTTAGGTTTCATTGCAAAGATCTTATTTTTTGGTATCATATGTAAACTTTTCTAGCCAAGAAGTCAGTTATATAAGAGTAAATCAGGAAATTTTAAATAAGCCAGTTATCAATCTAGACCAGAAGGAATTGATTGAAGTTTCATTGCAAGGATCTTATTTTTTGGTATGATGTGTAAACTTCTCTCTCCAAGAAGTCAGTTTCAGATCAGTAAATCAGGAACTTTTAAATAAGTAAGTTTTCATTCAAGGCTGGATTGAATTGATTTAGGTTTCATTGCAAAGATCTTATTTTTTGGTATCATATGTAAACTTTTCTCTCCAAGAAGTCAGTTATATAAGAGTAAATCAGGAAATTTTAAATAAGCCAGTTATCAATCTAGACCAGAAGGAATTGATTGAAGTTTCATTGCAAAGATCTTATTTTTTGATATGATATGTATACTTTTCTCTCCAAGAAGTCAGTTTCAGATCAGTAAATCAGGAACTTTTAAATAAGTAAGTTTTCATTCAAGGCTGGATTGAATTGATTTAGGTTTCGTTGCAAAGATTTTATTTTTTGGTATCATATGTAAACTTTTCTCTCCAAGAAGTCAGTTATATAAGAGTAAATCAGGAAATTTTAAATAAGCCAGTTATCAATCTAGACCAGAAAGGAATTGATTGAAGTTTCATTGCAAAGATCTTATTTTTTGATATGATATGTAAACTTTTCTCTCCAAGAAGTCAGTTTCAGAACTTTTAAATAAGAACTTTTAAATAAGCCAGTTTTCATTCAAGGCTAGATTGAATTGAATTAGGTTTCAATGCAAAGATCTTATTTTTTGGTATCATTTGAAACCTTTTATCACCAAGAAGTCACTTACAGATGATTAAATCAGGAAAACAGCTCAAAGCAGCCATTGCAATATGAGTAATTCAAGAACATTTAAACAAGACTGTTCTCAATCTAGACCCAAATAAGTTGACTTACGTTTCTTAATAAAGACCTTATTTACTGCTACCCTTATATAAGACCCTTCTCTCCCAGGATGACTCGTGAAACTTCGAATGAAGATTTTCTTCAATCTAGACCCGAACTACTTGATTTACGTTTCATCACAAAAGTCTTTCTGTCTGTGGCGTACGTATTTCCTTCTTTCAAAGAAAAATCAAAATGTAGAGAATTGAGAAGAGTGATTTTCGAATATACATCTACAATGATATTTTTTGCTTACGTAACCATTGATTTGCTGAAATTAATCAAATACTTTTCCGTCTTACCGCTAGGATTGACATTCACGGTATTTATGACAGATTTTTTCAGTTCGGTAATTCGCATTGTTCTTCTGCACAAAAGAAAAGAGATATTTTCTTTGTTGATAAGACTGCTGGGGACGAGTTATGAGCTGCAACCAAACAGAACTTTCAAAAAACGCACTCAACTGCTATCTGGATTTTGCATTTGTTTTATAATTCCTGTAACATTTTTCGCACTAACATTTACCATCTGCCGTTCTAGTTCTGAATCAGCTCTAATGGTGCAAGGAAATTTTTTCGGTTGGAAAGCGCAGAAGCACTGGCAAAACTGCCTAGTCCTTCTAATTTCCGATTTAGTGTGCCTAAACCAAGAATACCTCTTACCGGGATTTGTAGTGGTGCTCTGCTGTTATACTTTAGGGACTCTAAGAGATATTCTGGTCAAATTTTCAGCAGCTCTACAAGATATAAACAAATCAGTAACACTTATCATGTACTACCAGAAGTATTCTAATAATATAATCAACGGCGTGGAACAATTTGAGAACGCCTTGTCACTTTTAATACTTCTTTTATTTGGTTATATGACTTCTTCGATATTCACGGTTACAACATTTCTGCTGAGGATAAGAAGAGAGAGATTGGAATTAATCGTTGCTTTGCCACAGAGTATTTTGTTAGGAGTGTTCTTAACGGCATTTTATGTGTGCAGTGTATATGCGGTTAATGTTCATAAAGAGGCTTTAAAAGTTAAAAATGGTGTTTACAACCTTGTTGCATTAACGAAATTCGACAATGAAAAACAGAGAAATCTACTATTAACCCTAGCAAACGACTTTCCCAAAAGAGTCATTATAACAGGATGGAATATTTTTAGTTTTACGCCAAATTTTATTCAAAAAGCTGCTGGCAGTATGATTTCATATGGAATTATTCTTTCACATTTCGATAAATAAATGTACTCCTTTTTAAAAAAAATAATAATGGAATGAATTCGTGTAAAATTATCCTTTCACGTTTCGATAAATAAATCTACTCTTTAAAAAAAAATAAATGAATAAATAAAATTTGAATAGTTTTATATTTGAAGAACTGAGTGGATGAACCAGATAAGTGACATTTTCCGAGGGGCTATAATCAGGGTACGACACGAAAGTGGTATCAGAACTATTTTATAATTGCTGATGATGAGCTGATATGACTGAGACTGATGACTCCAGTCCCATCAGCTCATCTTGATGTCCTATATTCTTGCTGTATTCATATGAATGCTGATTCCCTTGTTAACGACATTAAATCCTTACGACCTCTTGATAGCGTGCGGAAATACAGTTTACCCTAATTTGCCCTTCTCGGCTACTTGATTTTTCTAGTTTTGCTTCTCCCCTTTATTTTTTCATTTACCCTGGCAACTTTACGTTTCGTATTTCAAATCACTTTTGTTTCTTCTTATTCACTCCTGGCAATTCTTGAAAATGGACGTCTATTTTTGAGCGCTTAAGGCATGTGGACTGTTATTTCCTATTCATATATTTTTGAAGCGAATGGTGTTTTTATTAATAAAGTAATATCTTACCGCTTCAGTTTCTCGGAATTATTTATTTAATTCTGATACAGTAAACATATTGAGACGTCCACTTTATGTTATTTCAATGATTAATAAATGCCCGCTAAGTTTTTTATTTAAAAAAGATATTGGCTTTCAAAAATTCGATATCAAAAATCTTTATCAGCAAATCGAAAGTTGGATAAGAGTAAAATGGCGATACCACATCTGCCTTTATGATAAATTTCAAATCTATAAATGCGCCATTTGTCCTTAGCATATGAAAAATTTTTTAAAAAAAAAAACTCTTTTAAAGGGAATTTCCCCTTAAAGAAATTTTATCAAATATTCGGGAAGTAAAATTTCATGATCATTGGTACTTCTCATAAAACATTATGCAAATAGTTTCTCAGAAAATAATAATGTGTTATCTTTGATTTAGAATTTTTATAAGTCATAAAACGATTTCTCTTCGCTATCAGAGTTGCTATAGATACTTGCCTTTAAAAAAAAACTAACAAAACTTAAGAATAAACATTGAATACCGACAAGTTATTAGTTGAAAGTCAAGCGTATGTTTTTCGGTGATAATAAATAACTTGCCTTATCATTTTCTAGTCTATCTACAAACCAATAAGTGGAAATCTAAATCAAATTTTAAATTTTCAAATTGAAACATGCAGGTATATTTGAGAAATTGTATTTGGTTTTGCATTCTTTTTGTTACTGTTTTCTCTGGTAAGTATCGTTGATTGAAGTGCTCTGTACAATTCATATATTTCTTAAGTATTTTTGCTTAAATTTAACTATTTATTCATAGATGGTATTTTTGAAGACGTAAAAACGTATTATTATCATTTGATTAAGAATCATTTACCCTCAACATCTTGGGTTCTAGGTTAAATTTCTAATTTGTGTTTTCTTGATTTTTTTTTTGTACTTAGCAAAATTTTTTATGATATAGTATTATTAAACTGCAAAATATCTTTTCATAAAGGCAGAAAATAGCAAAGTTGCACTATTAGTTAAGAAGAAATAGCACTTGTTTACTTTTAGAATTTCGATGAATTTTTACTCCAAACTTTAAAGCAATAAAATTATCCGATTTGAGGTTTTGAGTAATTAATTTAAAACTACACGTTTCTCAGTTTTTAGATGTTTTAAAATCTAATTTTCGTACATTTTAAACGGATGAAAACTGATTTGGATATCGCTAAAAAATTATTTTAACGTTAACTGCCTAAAAACGAAGATATTTATCAAAAATCTAAAACCATGCAGCTATATACTATTTATTTACCTATCAAAAACTGTTAACTTGTATGTTATATGTTGTATGTTATCAAAAACTGCTAACTGTTAACTTGTTAATTGTATTAGCATGATTTTGTGATATTCTAAATAATAATGATAGATATTCTAAAATACAGCACGCTTTATATCTAATATTGTGGTTGGGTGGAGACTTTGTATTTAACAGGTATCGAAAGATACTGTCAAATCGAGGAAATATCCATCAGTTTGCTTGTGAAAACTAAATAAAGAGGATTAAAAGCATGTTTAGAATTTTCATCCTTTTGACTGTTGAGTTCGGACTTGTGAGAATCAAACATAGAGTCCACCATACTATATAAAAACCTATATTAGCATTGGAAATATAGCAACAGTAGTTATTTACTAACATGATAAATAACAGAAAAAATATCATTCACACAAACATAGAAAATCCTCGTGCAAAGACAAATAAATAACTCTTTTTCTTGAGTCAGTACGCACATTATGTCGGTTGACTAAGAGTTAAAGATTGAATTTCGATGACTCACCTTTAAACTGTTACTATTTCAGATAATTGTATCATTGATTTACTTGGAATTTTAATTTATATTTCAATTAACTTTTCTTGTTTAATTTAACCTCTACTATTTTACAGCCAATTTATGAAAATTTAAAAATCTGAGGAAAAATCTATCGGCAAATAACGTACCTTGAGTCAGTTCGCACATTATGAAAATGAAGTTACGTCGGCTGACTAAGAGTTACAGATTGAATTTCGATGATTCACCTTTAAACTTTTACTATTTCAGATAATTGTATCATTGATTTACTTGAAATTTTAATTTATATTTTAATTAACATTTTATGTTTAATTTAACCCATACTATTTTAGCTAATTTATGAAAATGTAAAAATCTAAAGAAAAATCTATCGGCAAATGAAATCGCCTGACTAAAATCGCCTGACTAAGTGTTAAAGATTGAATAAAGATTGGTAAATCGATAATTCCCCGTTAAAATTTGACAATTTCAAATCCTTTTTTCATAGATTTACTTGAAATTTTAATTTATATTTAAATTACCCTTCCATGTTTAATTTAACCTATACTATTTTATAACCATTTCATATAATTTAAAAATCAAAGGAAAAATCCATCGGCAAATATCGTACCTGAAATTAATTCTCAGCCCAGTAAAACTTCAATTGTGAAAAAGTGTTCGCAATTTAATGAAGGATTTTCACATTGTTTGGTGAGCAATTATGTTAGCCAATTCAGTCCCATAAGGATTTTTCACACACTGGACTTGAATAAATTGTAATATCAAAACTAAGTTAATGGAACTGTAAGCATAGAAGTTTTATACATAAAATTTAGAATTTGTTTTCTTTTACTTATACTTAATTAAGCATATCGATTACTTTTGTACAGTTTTTTGTAAAAAGGACCATCCTGAATAATTTTTGATCTAATGATCGGATCTTCACGTTCTAGGACTCAATCTTAACGGCTAGAAAAGGTGAGCTCAAATATGCTAATTAATTAGTCTAGACCAGGGGTGGCGAACCTCTATACACCAACGTGCCATTTTTTCTAAAAAATTGCTTAATGAGGTCATAGACGTGCCGTCAAATAATTCTGACTTCGTGATTATTGAGAAAATAATAATACTAAATACTATCAACTCAAAACTCTTTATTTACATTGAAAAAAGAAAAAAAAATTTTGCAATGTCTCAGTGATACACGTAATTCAACTTAAAGTGATATCAGTGTGACTTCTGTTGTTGCAGATTAGATGACCAATAACTTATATTAGGTTGTGAGATGTTAGTTTAAGCAGGACTGTTGATTTTTTTCTCTGATTATTTACTGTTAGCTTGTTTTTTACTGTTATTAATTGTTTTTTTAGTTTTAATTTTTTTATTAATAATTGTTTATTATTTTGTTTGTTTTTTGTGAATTTTAATTTAATTGTTACATATGCTTCATAGTGTCATAACATTTGTGTAATAACAATTCATAGTGTAACAACAATTGTGATCAGTGGAGTGCCCAAAATATTGTGTCGCGTGCCATAAATGGCACGCGTGCCATTGGTTCGCCATCCCTGGTCTAGACGATATTTTAAGTTACAAAATCAGACACAAAATCGTACTATCTCTGAATAAACATACCCGTTTTCCAACGAATTCGGAATTCTTGTCCCTAAAATATAGGGGTAGCCACATTCTGAGAAACATATGGTCTCCATAGTTTGATCAGGAGAGTTGTGCGAAGTTTGAATCCCTTAATGTTATTTTTACTTCTTGCGTATTTCGCCATATCTCGAGAACTTTTAAAACGAATTGAAATATTCTTACACTTACTTATAAAATTCGTTTATCCAACGTAAATTCTATGCAAAAAATAAATTTCAGTATATATTTATTGCTTTTTATTATTTTATTTATTAATACTCGACAAAATTTTGAATTGTAAAGTATACAGTTTTTTATATCACTTTAAAGTATTTAATTTAATCTGGCATATAAAGTATTGTATCATCTCGATAGGAATATTTAAATTAAAGTTTCTTCCTCGAAAAGGAGCCATGTTGAACTAAAATCCATCGAAAACCACATATTTGCATAACATAGTACCCTAATTACCTCCAGATTTAGCGTATAAAATGACTAATTGCTTATCTCAGTATAATAAATGCTTATCCCTTTTCTTAGATAACAATAGGCTGCAGAAATCAAAAATTTCAGTTTGTGAAAAAATGGTACCTGATAGACATTTCTCCTGAAATCAGCACCTAAAAATCTATCAGTATCAGTCAATGGTTTCTAAACACATTTTTTGATAGTAGACTCCTGCGTAATTTATAAAACATTTGTAAAATAAACATCAGCATTTTGTTTTGTCAAAAAATTCCTTGCATATTTCTTCTCGAAATTTATAAGAGCTTTTTAAATTACTTAACTTTTATATTCTATAATATAATATAATAAAAATATATAAACAGCGTATTAGTAAAACTGTCTGTCTGTCATTTTTATAGAATCGTTTCATTTTAATAAAGCATATATATATTCCAAGTATCTGTAATATTCTTATGTAATACTTTATTTTATTTTGATATAACTTATTGGTGCAAAAAATTACAATTTTCAACCATAAACTGTTAAGTTTGTAGAAAAAAATACGAAACTAATCGAGTGTTTGACTTATATTATTAACTTAGAGCATTTGATTGGTGATACTGAAAAATATTAAAAGATTAACAATTGTGTTTGATAATCACCGATCTCTAGGAAATAAAAAAAAAAGTTCATTTGGCTATTTTTTACTGGGCCAGGTATTCGAACAGATTTGCACTAAATTCTATATCGAATAACATAATAACACCACTTTGCGATGCAGGAAAATAAGCAACTGATACCTTGAGCTGATTTCGGGGTCAGATATGGTAATCACGCAAAAGATAAATTGGAATAAGCATCTGAAGTAAGCATCTGTTGCTATTTTTCTCATGATTATTGAAATATCATGAAACTAAATTTTTCATGCATCTATTCGGATTTTCAATTATTTTATATTTCTGATTTTAATAATCTTTAATTACTAGCCGTAAAAAATAAAACTGCTTCTAAAATTAAGAATTGCGTATATTGTAAAATACCTAATTATTTTAAAGGAAGCATAATGATAAAAACATCAGAAAATTTGAGAGATTTAACAAAAAAATATTGAATGAAATTATGAAATTCTGTTACATTACAATAAAATGTCAACACTCCTTTTTGAAAATTACTAACTCTGAGTAATATCGCTAATAATTCTTGGAAAGAAGATTAATCTTTAACTCTCAACCGGAAATTAAACTCTTTGAATTTCCGGTCAAAATTAAAATAACTCAGCGAAATTAGTGATGTAATAAGCAATATCGTTAATATTTTCCAGGAAAAATTAGCAATTACTCCATATTTTTCTCTATCAACACATGCTCTGGCGTCCCGATCGTTGAGAAATGGTGAGAAGGAGATCAAACACACGCAATTTCAGGTAGCTGAAAAACAACATCTTCAAACAGATGTCATTCCTTACAATTGCAGTGCCAAGTTATGCCATTTTTGTTCAATTTGCCATTGTAGTCCACAGAGGTCTACAAGGAAAGTAACTCTTCAATTTGAAAATATTGGGCCGAGCTTGATCAAATTCTTCAATTTTTTTTTTTTTTTTAAGCAAAGAAATGTAATAATGGAATTATACAATACAAATACAAATAAGAAAATTATTTTTAAAGTATAAAAATCACTCATTTCTAAAAAAAATGAATGGATTCAAAACAAATTTGATGGCTACAAAAATTTTAAATCCTTGACAGTAATCATTATGAAAAAAACCCTAATCCGAAAACTAATTAGCTTCTGATTTCTAGTTTTGTTTTTAACTGTCTTTAGAAACAAGTTATAGATTTT